CCAATTTAAATTCTTGTTTATTTATAGCATAATCTATGACAGTATTATGAAAGTCATGAATATTATTTTATCTATTAATTGTTCAGTGTCAAATTAGGTATAGTGCAGAAAAGAAGTGGGATTCTATTCTTTTTTTTTAAGATTCAAATTTCTTGCAGTTAATTTTTGGAACGTATGTACATTTGTATGTTTGTATGTATGTACAAAACTTAAATCATTTTTAGTAAAATCTCTGCATACTGTGCAATTCATGAAGTCACTGACACTGCATGTTGTGTAATACATCAACAAAATTTTCAATCCTACATAATTTCACAATTTTCAATGACGCCATGTCATGAAACAAACTCAGTTTTCAGTACTCAAACCACAATACTTAATCAGGCCATTTTTGGTTCACAATGTTTGCTTTCAGTTTTAAAGGCACTGTTTATGTACTTGCGCATGGGCCTTTAACTATATAAATATATTGTCTATTAATTCAAATCATGAAATTATTTGCATTCACTTGTTATCACCTCTAGATGGCAGTATTAGAAGACTGTTGTCCATTTTAAAAAATGAAGTTATTGAGAAGCCTATGGAGACAATAAAGTTAGCAATTCCATCAGGACTCTACACGATTCAAAATAATTTATTATTTATTGCTCTTTCTAACTTGGATGCTGCTACATACCAGGTTAGTAAAGGCCTTATATAGAAGAGGTTTGCCATGTTTGTCTTACTTTTATTGTTATCATATAATCAGGATTTCCATGCTATTTTACACTTGTTTCTATGGAACGATTATTTCTTCATATCCCCAAAACAATGAAAAAGTATGATATAAAAAAAATTGATATATTATTATTGATATGTATTCTAATATTGTAAAAACAATATTAGAAATTGACATATAACTAGTTTCCAGGGTGATAATTATATTATATACAAAATATTATCTCCCATAATGCATTGCATATATGTGATGTAATATGTTTAGTATGCAAAATATGAATTCCTCTAAAACAGCCCTAACATAATTGCTTTCTTTGAAGCGATACACCATATGGGGTAGATGACATTACCAAAACAACTCTTTCTGAAATAGGATCCAGTCAAATGTTAAGTAAGGCCTTAAAATTAAAATACACTTCAAACTCTAACGTGATGATGCATGTATAGAGTAATTGGCAAACTGGTCTAAATAGATTATGGTCTTCTGGCAGTATCATTTGTCACCTGCTAGGTGTGTCATTGTATTGATGTTTTTATTATCAGGTCACTTACCAACTCAAAATCTTAACAACAGCCATGTTCTCCGTACTGATGTTGGGAAGAAAATTAGATG